TTAATGGCATATTTGAGTCATGCTCTTAACAAACTATGTTTTATTTCCTCTTTCCATATTGTGAATAATAAATGTGTATCATTTTAATTTGCTTGTTACACAATGGAGCCTAACTTATTGTAATAATTATTTGACGTAGCCTACTTTTACACTCAGAATTATTCCTTGGCATCCTCACATACTAAACTGCATTTTTTTTTTTATTGTTTGAGTGCTGGAGGTACGCTATTACGTCGTGTGCAGCGTGATGTTAACATTTAAGCTAGCTGGTGAAAGAAAAGGGCACTATCAAAGAGTCTAAAGAGGAAAGTTGACAGCGAAAATAGGGCATACAAAGTCAATGAAGAATGGAAAGACAACTATACGTTCATCCTATCTAGTTTTGTGAATGCAAAGCGGTGTCTTATCTGCAACGAACTGTCTGCGGATTAAAGTGACATCCATATCACCCAACATCCAAAAAATCGTGACTGATGGAAGATGCCAGTTTTCACATTTAGTGAGTAGCCTACTAAGCCTGTGTAATAGCCAAAATGTATTTTGAACATAGTTACTGAATTTCATCTAACTTTAACTCTATTCATGTAGCCTAATCCTGTTAACTCTGTCGTTTCAGGAGTGTAAGCATATGCACCCCCACAGGGTGTCCGTGGGTCTTTAAAAAGTCTTAAAATGTCTTAAATGTCGGATTCGATGGGTCTTAAATATTTTTGGTCACATTACCGCTAAAATATCTTCAGTCTGACGGAGCTATTTTACTCAATATTCTCACGACACAAAAAAACATTGAAAACGCCTACAGAGAGTGCATGGATTGAGTGAAGTCTAGTGCGCGTGCGCATTTAGAGTGCGCTCTTTCACTGCATGATTCAGTCGATTAAAATACATTCAGAATGATCACAATGCAGTTTTGTGTCTTTGAGCAACATGACAGCTTTTTGTTCCCGAATGAATCAAATGTTTAAATGATTCGGTTCAGTCGCAATGACTCACTTATTAACAGTGATAAATACTTCTAAATGCCAATTCAGGTGCAGCTTATATCTGGATTGCAAAGATGAATTTTGTTGATACTGATTTCATTTGCTTGGTAACAGCCCAAATGTCTTATTATTCTAATTCACTGATTAAATGTAAGAATTTGTCTCAAAAGATAATGCATGCTTATAGAAAAAAGGCTTTATAAAGGTAAAATGCCCATAAAAGTTAAAAATCGATTTAAACTTATTGGAAAAGATTAATTTCTATCTGACCACCACACAGAAGATGAAGAATATCAGAAACATTAGGAGTCAGCTGTCCACGAAAGTCCTTAAGATACCAGAATGATAACACACTCAATCAGTTGAATGAATGACTCAATGACTCACTCATTAAGTGACTTACCGTCACTTACTTGACTGGTAGCAGCCCTATAGTGTATATTGAATTTATTGATAAATTGTAATAATTTGACATGTAAGATGATGCATACATCTAAAAAGGTTAAAAATAGGCCTTTGTAAAGGTAAATATGCAGATTTAAGCATGTAAAAGCTGATAGAACAAGGATGAAAATATTGCTTCAGAATAAATTGTTTACTCCACCAAAAATCTCAGTGATGTAGTTATTTTGCAGGGATGTTTTGTATGGAATATTGTCCGCTGACATGAAAAGTTCACTGTATATCGTAGTAATAAATATAATTTATTACAGTAATGATATTCAATGTAAAATATGTCATTGATATGAAAATAAAACATCAATTTGTAAATGCACCAGTTTGCAGACATTTTAAGTGTTTCATATTCATAAGATACAGTAAGAACAAAAACAAGGAAACAAAGTAAAACAAACTGACAAATACATTAAAACAATAATACAAATGAAATAGTGCTTTAATTTGTTCATGGAGGTCTACCAACACTACTGTTCAGGTAAGTAATATAGCCTACTAAAGAAATCTAATAAAATAAGCAATAGTAAAACAACACTGCATAGTTTTCACTGTATAATTTGATAGATTAATGCTTGTTAAAGTTGTTATTCAGATTTAGAGCTGTGAGTGATTTTCTCTTTGCATTTTGTTGTTGGACCAATCGTCAAAAGGTGACTGCATATATATTGACACTCATCGGATTTTCTCTCAGCTGTTCCAAGACATAAACCGTGTTTAAGTGAATACTCTCCAAGGTGGCAATTTTGACATTTTTGTGTTTATTTGATCGTTTGGATGCGCCTGATCCCGAAGTGTAATTTTCTTTTCCGTTTTGGAGCGTGCACACAATTCAGCCTGGGGAACAGCGTCTCTCATGCGGATTAATGTGCTTTCAACGTTTTATCAAACATGTCCCGCAATTTAGCAACAGTAAATCTCTCAAGTCTTAAATTGAACTTGTTCATGTCTGTAGAAACCCTGCCCCAGCTGTTCTGCATCCATGATCAAGAATTTTTACATTTTTTTTGCTGATTGTCTTTTTGATAAAAAGGAAGCTGAATTTGCTGTGTTATTGTTCAAGTGTTGGTGCTGAGGCCCCGCGTTATAAGCAAATGTTTCAATGGTTCACTGTAGCAAAAATCACTAAAGATGAAGTGGTTGTGAGTAACTGTTGCTGTCATGTCATCATCTGTTTGATTACGTCTTTAATTGATTTTTCCACACATTCTGCCATATGTACATTAACTGACAGTTACCACTGATAAGCTACTACTAAATATATTGTAGAAACTTCATTTTCAGCGTCTCTCATGCGGATTAATGTGCTTTCAACGTTTTATCAAACATGTCCCGCAATTTAGCAACAGTAAAGACTGCATTTTACAACAATCACCGATTGTGCTGATTCTAATGTTACGTTTGGGTTTTAGGGAGGAACGAATGTGCGCTGCTGTGAAGGGAAAGAAGCTGCGCTAGAAGAAACGCGGCTAGTTTTTAATAGTTTTACCTCATATTTTCTTTTTTATGATCCTTGGAAACCAAAATCGAAATCAACGATAAAATTGTCTTTATATCACAGCCACAGGCCTAAAGTGTAAGCAGACGTTGAACGTTTCGTTCTTTCCTCTGTCTTCAGGGCTTTCACGTTGTGCGCTCCTCTGCGTGAGCGCGATCTCTCTTTTGAATTGTGAATCGCAAAAATGCATCAGATAAATGTCCTAATATTATTGCAGAGTATAGAAATAGCTGGCGACTCTGGCTAGATAGAATTTGCAAGATAATGGCCCAATCCCAATTCTACCCCTTAGCCCTTCCCCTTTCCCCTACCCCTCCGTTTCACGTGTTCACGTGAAGGGGTAGGGGTGTCTCGATTCTCTTTTGGTTGGATACTACTAAATATATTGTAGAAACTTCATTTTCTGTAAAGTAGATTTGCAACTATTTGTATCATGAAAAGCTCTATACAAATAAACTTTAATTGAATTGAATTGAATCATGACAGATCTATTTCAGAACCAGCCGCTATCAAAATAATCTGGCTGCCAGATATTATTGCTGGCAGGCCAGTTTTAGTCACCTGTTGCCGACCACTGATTTAGACCATAATAGCTGAGAGTTATTAAAAGGTTTTCAATATATTTGAGGATAAGATGTTAAAATGCTAAAAAGTATCAAAGGCTGTTATGCTTTGGTCTATGTTTTTTCTTCTTCTTTTTTTCCCCTGGTACATTTTCTTACTCTGCGCTGCCTAATATTATTTGCCAGATTAAATTACCTTTTTTTTCTCTCCAGGCAAAAGCTCACTGGCGAGTTGGTGTAGCCACTCTCAATACTCTGGCTGGCTACATTGATTGGGTTGCTCTGGTCTACATAACCAATGATAACTGCCATCTTTTGGAGATCTTGTGCCTGTTGCTGAGCGAACCTGAGCTTCAGTTGGAGGCTGCAGAGTGTCTGCTAATTGCCATTAGTAGGAAAGTAAGTGACAGCATTTACATCATAAAACTTTTTTTAGCTGCTTTTCCCATAACATTCCTTATATTTTATTTATTTGTTTGTTTTTGTTTATTTATTCTGCAAGTCATTGCTGTCATTGGAGTCAAATTCACATATACCTAGGGATGGGTATCGTTAAGGTTTTAACAGTATTACTACTCTTACTACTCTTACTTATCGATCCGGTACTTTAACGGTATTCTTATCAGTACTTTGTTTTATACAGGTGCATCTCAATAAATTAGAATGTCGTGGAAAAGTTCATTTATTTCAGTAATTCAACTCAAATTG